CAACGTGGGGCTTGATCCCAGGACCCCGGGATCATGACCTGAGCCGAAGGCAGACGCTTAACTGACTGAGCCACCCAGGCGCCCCAAAACTTTTTTTAATAGAATGAGGCACAGCCACTACCTGTAAGGCCCTACTGCTCTGAGGGTTGCAGGTGTGTAGACACTGCGATGAAGTGTGTCTGAAGGAAAGTCTGGCTGGCGGCCAATCCTTGTCCTATGTAGGAAAGAATCAGGGATCATTGATTTCGATTTATAACTCTTCAATAATTGATGGAACCAAGAATGAATTTTAAAAACCTCCTAGGACTAATCCAACTGGCTTTCCCAGAAATAGATGCATATTTGTGGAATTCGCTTCTGTAATATCTCATTAATTTTTCAGTGTTTGCAATGGGTGTGGCGCTGATCGCAAACTGGGGCATACGCTTGTGCAAGTTGGCTTCAGCGAGCGAGCTGCTTCCTAAGCTGTATCAAGTTACAAATTTGGAGTTGTAAAGCATCACAATATTAGGATTGCTTGTTTTCTTGCAAAGCTCATTAGCCACCAGCAATTAGCATCTTTTGCTGCACAAAATGGCGTCATTTGGCATGTTCTGCAGCCACTAGCATGGAGGGGATGAAATCATGTAAATGCCACGTGCCATCTGCTATCACGTAAAGGTAAAGTAGGATGAAGGGGCTCTTCAGCCATCTCTTAGTTTCTTAGCTACGAGAGGCTTAATTAAAACAAAAATGACAATGTGCAACCCTCAACACTCCTGTCTTGGAGAAAGGCCATCTTGGCTTTTTGGATTCTGCTGAGTGAAATTAAAGCAAATATATTAGTACTTCAAGGAACTGGTGACAGATCATTATAGTGCTTTCCTGCTTTTTCAAATGAGCCCAACAGAATTTATCCTGCTTTAATTCTCCTCTTGAGAGTCACAGAATGAATATTTATATTTATGCAGATGAGCAAATAAGGCAATGTCGCAACCTAAAAGTTGGCCTCCTATTGCTACTTTGAGGTGATATTGTCCTGCTTTTTAACTAGAGTATTATTTAGCTTTTTTCCCCCCTATCAATTAAAGAGATTTATAAAATGTAATAAAGATGTCCAGTAATGCCTTTAAGACAGAATGTCATGTTTATACCATGCCGCCATAAACCATGCCAACATATGCAACTTCAGTAGCCTGACCAAACATGATACATGGAGATGGCATTGACCTGATAATCCCCAGGTGTGGCTGGGAAGACCCCGAAATAGGTGACCATCAATCCATATTACCCATCTTTATTCTGGGGCTTTTTGTCCCTATTGGCCATCATCCAAAATAGTCCTTAGGGAGTTTCTTTAAGTTGCGAAGAGGATCATTATCCAGTAACACATTTTTGTGATGATCAGGAAGCAGAGATTAGATTCTGGTCTCTTGATTTTTTTTGGTCATCTGCATCAACTTTTTTTATGTCAATGCTAACTCAGAAAAACCTGGGAATTGTCTCTTAGGTTTAGGTGAAATTGTCTCAATATACAAAATGGATGTCTTCTGGGTCTATCTCCTTTCTATTAAATTCATCAGGAGCCTCTGCATAATACTTCCATCAAATGAAAGCAATTACCCAAGCAGCATTTACTACAAAGGATGTGCTTGGGGGACTTTTCCTCCTGGAACCCTGAAAGGCAACTGTCTAGCTGATTATCTCGCTCGTTCTGACCACCTTATTGATCTTTTTAAAGGGGAGATTAGGTGGAATCTCCCTTAGGGACAAATCAGCTTCACAACTCTTAGCCCTCAATTGCCTGGTGGTAAATTATTATGTCCAATTTGAACTGCAATCATTGGGGTCTCTGGTCTTAGCAATTTCTCTCTGCTTTTCTAACTCTGGGGATAATTTTTAGGGCCTTGGGAAAGATTCACAAGTATTCAGAAGGAGATTTCAAGTCTTTATTGAATCCCACAATCTTATTATCTGTATTAAATATTAAGTTTTGCTGAATCAGAATCTCTATTTCAACAATATCTTTAGGTGACACATTTGCACATCAAAGCTTGAGAAGCATTGCGTGCACCATGATTTTGAGACTTAGGGACTCTATTCTAAACCCCTTGAGAGGGGGTAGTAAGGGGTGTGGTGGAGGATGTTGCATATCTTTCATATGTGGTATTTACTATGATGCTAGGCACACAACAAAGGACAATTAGTATGATTTAGAAGCACCGGGCATGGTGCAGACTTTCCTGGGCTCCTTCCAGACATAAATGCAGGCAGAGCCAGGTCCCGCTCAGGTCTGAGGTCCCATGGGAAGGGGCATTTCCCACCTACTCTCCTGAGGGTTCCTCCAGAACAGGGCCACCATAGGGCTGGATGGGAGATAGAAATAGGACTTTGTTCCTTGGTATGGGGGTTCTCAAACTTTGGTTGTCATCAGAATCACCTGGAGGGCTTATTAAAAAAACAGATTGCTGTTTGAGGGGCTCCACCCCTAAAGTTTCTAATTTCAAAGGTTTGGGCTAGGCCCCAGAATCTGCATTTCTGACAATTTCCCAGGTTAAGAAGGAAGCTCCTGCGCTGGGACCACCAGGCTTTGGGAAACACTACTATAGGTGTTAACCTATTTAGAGCCTTTCAGGGGATGCTGTGTTTAGAACTAGCTCTCATTTATAGGGGCCTGTCCTTGAGTAGATCACGTAACCCCTCTTGGTTGGTTGGTTTGCATTATTACGTCCTATGAGACAATAGGTATTCGTTTGGGTTGTTGTATTGTATAAGGCGGTAGAGGTGAAAGGGATCCCCAAAGAGTGAGGAGCAAACAAATGTTAGTTGTGATTTATTCACTCGTGGCTTCCGGGCCCCATACACAGACACTGCTGACTGTGCTTGCAGTGGGTGGCTGATGCAAGCTGGGGTGGGGGGTGAGGGGTGGCTGATGCGAGCGGGAGTGGGGGGGTGGGGTGGGGAGGGGGTGGGTAGCGGTCAAAAGCCTAGACTCCATTTGTCTGACTCGAACCAGTTGAAACCACAGCTAGGTCACTTCTTTCTGAGTCTCACCTTCCCCCTTTGTGGATGAGGAATGAACTTGGTGGTTTTCCAGCGGGGGTGCCTGGGGCCCGGGGCTTTTGGGGATGCCTAGAAGGTGAGCCTGTGGGCCCCGCCCTGGCTTCCAGCAATGCAGTCCACCTGGATTGGATTTCCAAACAAAGATGCTTTTGTAAAAAGGGCTCCGCTAAAAGGAAGACCAGTTTAAAAACTACCAGGAAGGGGGCGCCTTGGTGGCTCAGTGGGTTGAGCATCTGACTCTTGATTTCCGCTCAGGTCATGATCTCGGGGTGGGATCCAGCCGAGTCCGGTGTCCCGCTCGGCAGGGAGTCTGCTTCTCTCCTTCTCCCTCTCCCTCTGCCCCTCCCTCTGCTCTCTCTCCAGTAAATCTTAAAAACAAAACAAAACAAAACAAAACAAAACAAAACACCTGAAGGATAATCTTTAGCTTTCAAAGTTCACCCTCAGAATCATGGAGGATGTACCCAGGAGAGCACAGTTGTTCTTTTCTTTCACAACTGAGGTGAAGGGGTGGAAGATTTAGTCCTCAGGCTGCTTCTCGTCTGCTCTAACAGTGATCTGTTGTCACCGAGACATGTGCTTCCACCTGCCACCACCCTCGAGGGAAGACAGTGGTGCTAGTATGAAGGCCAGGAGCGGGGTGGGGGTGGCATTCCAGCGAAGATGGGAAGCTGCCCCCCAGAGCAGAGAGAGCATTCTGCCCCACGATGGTGCCTGTCACTGGTGGACCCGTTCTAGGTCCTAGACTCCCGGGGTAAATTATTTGACAAGAGGAGCTTTTGAGAGAAGGCCCATACCTTATCCATCTCTGCAAGTTAGTGCCCGATTCCAAGACAGCTATTCAGCTGGCTCCAGTAATTCACAGCGGGCGCCTGTCCTAATTGGTGAGGCATCGGTTCTAAGTGGTTAGGGCATGTGTTTTACTAGCTATGAAGTACTTTGGAAACCTCCTCCCCTACTTGTTACAATGGCTATCCCGTAGCAGGCATGCAATGAAAGGAGGCTGAGCAAGGGGGACCTGAATTCAGTAACAGAAGTGGGTGGCACAGGGAATCGGCAGCTCCATCGGACACCAGGAGACCCCCAGGGAACAGCTCAAGTCCAGGGAAGGTGAGCACCACAGAACTCCTCCTCTGCTCCTAGAACCTGTCCTCCAGAGATGGAAGGAGAGGGCTTTGAGCTGGCACGCAGGGAGGGTCATCACTGAGACCTCCACTGGGCATCTGGAAGTGTCTGCCGGCAGCCTGATTATGCCCGCATTCTTAGAAGGACTTGGAGGCCACTCCAGGCTCCAGGCCCAGGCGGGCTGTGATGACACCCCCCCACCCCGGCTCCTCCCCCGCATGTACTCAACACCGTTTGGAACCTTACTGACCGCTCATGATTTTGACTAACCCCCAAACAGGGGAGCTCACCTAGAAATGTCAACACAAACATCCCTGAAGTGTTCTGACCCAGAGGGATATCAGGAGAAAGCCCTCAAGCACAGAAGTGCAAGTTATGTGCCAGTGACACTGCCCCAGGGGTGAGCAGGATCCACAGATGCGGCCGCCAGCGACCCTCATCACCTGAGCTCCCCAACATGTATGTGTGACCGAGTCCCTCCTGGCTTCAGACCCTTCAGTGGCTCTTCATCTCCTACCAGACAAACAAGTTTTTAAAGTATACACGTAAGCCTCTCGTGATCCCAGCCGTGTATCTGCCTGATTTTCTTTTACTTTGCAATTTATTTTCTGGAAACAGGGAATGGATCATCATTTCGACACAGAACAGCGCACACGTTGGTGGCTGAGCTGACAGTGCTTTGCCTTCTCCCTGCCCTCCCCAAGCCTGTCTAACTCCTCATCTTGTGAGATTTAGGGCCATGGAGGATGATCTATTAATTTAAAAGGGAAAATACTTAGATAAAATTCAGCTGATATTTATCGAATTATCTGTGTTCCTTTGAATTTTAAAACCTGTTTGGATTTGCCCTTTCTCGGCTCTTCTCTCTTATTTTCACGGGAAAACTGTCGTGTAATGTTGCCGACGCTGCTGGGGGCTGACCCAACGGGCACGCTCTCCATTTTTCTTGCTGTGAAGACCCTGCTTTGCTTGGGTGACGCGCTGACTTGCTCCGCCTTCAGTTGGCAGAGCCACGTGACTCAAATACAGCCATGAGATTTAAACCGGAGTTGCAGGCTGTGGCTTCTGGAAACGCTTTTTCTCGAAGGGGACAGAGTTGGCTACCTTCTTCCTTTTTGATCTTCGCCCTTCCTGTTGTCTGGAATGTGGCTTGATATCTGAAAGTATACCAGGGGTCTTGCAAAGGTAACGCAGAACAGGAACGCAGAAGGAGTCTGGCAGGTTGCTGACATCTGCTCTGGCCTGGGTTCTGGTCGTATTACAAGAGAAATACCCTTTATGGGGCACCTGGGTGGCTCAGTCGGTTAATTGACCGACTCCTGGCTTTGGCTCGAGTCATGATCTCAGGGTCGTGAGATCAAGCTCTGCATTGGGCTCTGGGCTGAGTATAGCGCCTCCTCAATATTCTTTTCTCTCCTTCTCCCTCTGCCCCTCCCTGCCAGCCCCCCCCTTGTTCGCTCTCTCTCTCTAAAATTAAAAAAAAAATACCCTTTACTCATTTAGGTCATTCTAGTTGAAATCTGTTACCTGCAGCCAATGCTATCCTATCTGACACAGATCTCCCCATCCTGGACTTCCTTCTCCAAGAACAAGGTCATGTTTTGGCATTGTGATGTCCTGTGACTTTTTTTTTTTATCACCTATTTATGATGAGGTTTCATAATAAGATCATTAGAGTTACAACTTCTTAGAACTCTCCCCTTCTTGCTATTTTCCAACCCAATACTTATGGTGGTTATGAGGATAGAGAGGGCTAAATTAGGTAGGCATTGGAAAAGTTACAGTAATTTGAATGGGAAATATATTCTAATTTCATTGGGTATAGAATGTTGAGACTGATACATAATAAGTGAACAATATGCAAATCCAGCCAGGAATTTTCACAGTGCTATTCAAAAACCATTAGATAATATAAAATATTGGGAGCCCTACAAGGGGACCCCTGAAAAGAAATATTAGCCATTTCCCCATCAAATTTATCCTTTTCTTGATAAAGACCCTACAAGCATATAATGAGAGAGTTGGTATTTAAGGGCTAGATGAGCCTGAATTGGATGCGGATTGGAAAAATTACAACAATATGAGTGAGAAATGTAACCTAGTTGGACTTTGGGGAAAAGGTTTACCCTTGAGTTTGAACTCTAGATGTTTCACAATCTGGTGAATATTAGGCGTTTGGTAGTTTCCTGAGATTCTATAAGCTATCTTCATATTCCCTGGAGACCTCAGAGAGGGTTCGGCTGTTGGTGGACTAGAAGGACTGGTCTTCCCGGCCACGTCTAGGCTGGCTTATCTCTTATGCTTCTGTAGTTTTCTGGAGTGTTGGTTAAGAATGTGGAGACATTGTCTGGATTTTAATCTCAGCTGTGATTGAGCAAGTTAATAACCGCTGTGGGCCTGATGTTGCCATTTGTGAAATGTAGACAATAATGATATTTATCTATTGTGTGAGGACAGTCGAAGTTAATCAATATAAAGCACTGAGATCGGTGACTGGAACTTAGCAAGCTGTCAATAAAAGCTATTATGTTGATTACTGAATATACTGTGATATAACGTTCTATTTATGTGTCTCTTTATTCCACTAGATTGCCGGCTCCTTCAGTACAAGAGACATGTCTTATTTCTTGATGTGGTGGGCGCTCATTTAGTATTTAAACCATCGTTCTTAATGCACATGAATGAATGAAATACTCCTCTGATATTGTCCTCCCTTGTGAGAAGTATCTTACTTCACAGATTTATGTCTTATCTGCCCCACCCCCGTGCCCGAAGCTCCTAGCTCCTATTCTAAATCCCTCTGTTTCATAATAACATAACTCAGTAAATATTTGTTGAGTAGATGAAACCATAACCAAACCCTCACACAGCCAGAGTCGTCACTGTCAATTCCCGCCATGAACTCCTGCAGAACTGGTACCCCAGTGACAGCAAGTTGCTCACTGTTGTTTAAATGTGCCTTGCATGTCACGTCTCTACACCTTGGCTCAGGTATTCCCATCTGCCTGCCTAGCTCCACTTTGCCTGGCAAACCCACCTTCATCTCTAAATTCCAGCTTGGACACTCTTCCTCCAGAAGTCCGCTCTGATCTGTTCAGGAAAAGCCATCTCTCTCTCTCCCTCCCTCTTCCACCCCCACCTTGTCTTTCTACTTTATAATGATTTCCCTTTTGAAGGGAAGACTCATACTGTGTCTTATATATTACAGAACCTAAGCACCTCGCCTAGCACTTGATATAGAGCAGGTATTTGAATAAGCTTCTTAAGGAATAGGCAAGTTGACCTATAGAATGATACACAGACAGTTCTCAAATGAATGTGCTTTTCTATTCTAAGTCATAAATAAATAATCATATGCATTTACAATAGCAAAGTGCAATATCAGTCCCTCCCCCCTCATTAGAAGTGGTTAAGTTACTCTATTCATTTCCCCTTATCCAGGATACCTTTTGACATGAGGCATCCATTTGGGAGCATGTAGGTCAGGTTTTGGATTCAATTTGCACGTATGGAGCAGAGGGAAGACAAATGGCTGGCACAGGGTTTGAGCCTTGACCTTGGCTTTGTTGCCTTAGTGTTCCAAACCCAGTGATGCTCATTCTGGAAAGGTGGGCATGTCCCTGGAAGGGCATAACAGAATCTCTGTGGACATGATATTTTATGTTCATAAGAAGAAGGTATGGGTTAATAAAAATATCAAGGATCACATTTGTAATGATATGAAGACCTAGGGGAACAGAAAGAGAGAACATCTGCATATAGTAACATGAAGAGACATGCCTGGCAGTGGACTAGATGTCCGGGCACTCTGTAAGGGACCCTGTGTCTGTGTCAGGCATGCTCGTTCAGAGAATTGGATTAATGACATTAACGCAATGAATTCAGAACGACTTTGAATTTAGGTCTCGTGATGGGAGGGGGTGTTGATGGTTCCAAACGGGTGTCTTATTTTTGCTATTCAAATAGAATTGCTTCTTATAAAAAAAATGGCATGCATGCAGGATCATTGTGTCTAGTTCTGGACTGATTATTTGCTGGAAGCAATTACTGCAATAAATTCAGAATTTTTTATTTCCCTCCCCTAAACAAAATGGCGTGTGCGCGGGGTAGTGGCATCCTGTCTGGCGGGTGGGGAGAGAAGTTTTTGATACCTAATTTCCTCCGAGGGAGGTTAAGCTAGGAGATGGACTAACTATAAAGGCACAAATGTTTGGGGTATGGCTGGCAACCCACTGTCTCTGTGTAAATACAGTATAATTTCATGCTGCCTTTATTTGTTTGGAAAAGCACAACTAAACAAACATCCTTGAGAGATGCATTTTTCTTCTTTGTTTGTTTGTTTGATGCTTGGCTATTCTGGTGATTTGCTTCAGGACAAAATTCTGGATCCAGGAGGTTGTATAACTGGATACCTGACCCAGACTTTGCAGCCCTCTTGGCTTGCTGGCCTCCCCGCTCCTCTCCTCCTTCTTTACCCTCCTCCCATTCACAAAACCAAACACAACCACACTAACCCTGAGCTGCGCTACCTCAGGCCAGTCATAGCCAAAGGGACTAGTCCCATAGTTGCTGGAATAATTTTGTCTCTTTTCTGGTACCAGAACATCTCCTTATGCTGTCCTCTGCTGAAGATCCAAAGGTCCGTGGTGTGGGCTAGGACAGCAACAATTTAGAGAATCCAGAGAATTCTCCCCCCACTGCTGAGCAGGCCACACACCCGCATGTCAACACTCAACAGTGAACTTGCTCTTCCATGTTGGTGACAGAAAAGTTTTTGGCTGGTGGAAATGTGTCCCTGCATGGACCTCAAATGCATACACATGATAAGGAATAGATTGGTTTTGGCAAATAGTTTATTCTAATTTAAAATCAGCTGACACTTACTGAGCACCAAAGTACTTTAACATGCATCATCATACAGATTTTCACAAGTACCCTACGAAGTGGAAATCACCTTTCTCATTATAGAGCCAAGAAAACTGCAGCTCACCTAAGGTTGCATTGCTAGTGAACGACGGAGCCAGAATTCCAAGTTCAAGTATGTAAGTCTGACTCTAATAAAACTTGTAAATAGGGAGAAAAGATACTAAAAACCATGTTAGAGTATTAGGTTTGTTTGTTTGTTTGTTTTAAATTGACATAATAATGGTTACTACTTTGGGTAGAAGACGAAGTAGAGTGGGTTGAATGGAAGCTCCTGGAATGATAGGTTCATGTCCTAAACCCTAGAACCTGTGCATGGGATCTTATCTGGATAAAGTCTTTGTAGATGTCATTAGATGAAAGAGCTAGGGATGAGTTTGTTCTGGGCTATCCGGGTATGCCCTAAATCCATTGACACGTGGACTAATAAGAGACAGGTAGGGAAGAGACACAGAGAGGAAAGAAGTTTGTCTGAGGACAGAGGCAGAGATTAAATGCAGCCACAGTGAAGGAAAACCTTGAGGAAGCAAAGGAAGGTCCTCGCCTAGAACCTTCGGAAGGAGCACAGCTCTGCCAGTTCCTTGATTTTGGACTTCGGCCCTCCAGAACTGTGAGAGCATCTATTTCTCTTGTTTTGAGCCACTTGGTTGGTGGTGATTTGTAATAGCAGCCATCAGACACTCATAAAGGGGGCAGTACGAGTGAGTGGCAGGGGAACTCCACATATGACCCTGATTCCCAACTCTGACCTTCGTTACGTTTCACCTTGGCATGTCACTTCCTGGGGCCTCAATTTCCTTACGTAGAAAACAAACTGTGGCAAGACGCTTTCTGTCTCTGGTGATCTATGAATCAAGGATTTAGGAGCACTGTTCTCAATTTCCCTGCCAGTGGCCAGTGGGTGGGAGCAGTAATTATACGGTGACCTTTATCTTGGCAGGAATGTTTGAAGATGAATAATTAAAGCTCCTCCTTTAGAAATATGACTAATGCATCATTTGCATTTTGTGCAGTCCTT